ATTCTGCTTCACTTACTGGAAATACTATGTACTATGGCATAGAATTCCACAAAGAATGTAGAAAAAATTTTTAAGAATCAATTTTATTATAAATAAGCAGGCTACCTTATTTTACCTTATTTTTGGTGTTTATAAGACTGTAAAAAATCTTGTCTAATATCACAGATTCTTAGAAAAGATAATATAATTTGCAAGGAAAAGGTAAGACTGGGTTTAATAAAGATTATCTTTAATCTTGAGATAGTTTGATATCTTAAAATCAACATCTATTCCCTTTAATGTCCTCATTGTAAAAGTTGCCACTGGCAAGAGAGTTATTTTCTGAAACATCTCTTGATACAATTTCAAGTGTTGAAAAGTTTCATGGACTTCAGCCAGTTTCTAGTTTGCAAACAGAAGGCTGTATATACCGTATCTATGTATAGGCAATCCATATTAAACACATTCATTACGCCTACTGTGTAATTATACCAAACCACTGTTGGATTCTCTGTCAATATTGAATCCCTAAAGCTTCACTTCTAGTTGACTTTTCTTTTTTTTTTTTTGAGTAATCACCACTTAACGTTTTAGAAAGAGAAAGAAAGGAGCCTGATGAATTACTACAAATGGTGGTTCACTTTATTTCAAAATAAATTCTGTGATTAAAATAGGCATTTTCTCAGATGGTTGTCACTTTGCATTTGAGTGAAAACATCAGTGACACAACCCCAGGAGAGATGAGGGTCAATACTCCTCCACCTACTACCTGCAATTTCTCTTGCTTGTCCTTTTCTTTTTTTGTTGTCTTATTTCACAAGGTGGAAATAAGGGTGAAGGTGAGCAGGTATGTAAATATTAAGAAAGGCATGAAATATCATTTATCAACAGAGCAGGGAATTTTTAAATCTTTTACGATGACTGAAAATGTATACATTCCTCCAAAAAAGAACTTTCCTAGATGATTAGGACCCAGGAGAGCATAGAGAGACCTTCATACCAGTCCTTACAGCACAGCTCTGTGGGATACTGCATTTTCCAGAGAATAGTAGAGGTGGCTTCATACTTCCTAACATCTACCAAATGGAAGCAGCCAGGAGACTAACTACAGAATCTTGCTCAGATCTTAATACAGAAGTTAAATTATGAAAAACATTTGAAAGAAATTAAACTTGGCTAAAGTATTCAAAACATTCTATTAGATTTTAACCAGCCACTTTGGTCCAATTTCCATTCCCTGATGTAGGAAATGTAATTACAAGCAAAGTTATATATCATTTAATGAGCTAAACCCAAATCCACACTTTAGTATTAGATATTTTAAGACAATTAGCATTTCATTATTCTAGCCTAGTGATAATACTGGTATTCTCTGATCCTATCAGTAGGGAACAATACTCAGTTGAAGGGGCTACTTAACTATTTACTCTGTTGAGTGGGAGTCCCTAGATTTTATCGAATTCATTTGTATCCTTCACTAAAGAAGTATAAATTGACAGAAGAAATTTAGTCAATTTGTCTTAGAATCCCCTGAAAATAATCCAACTAAGCCTAAATTTAAGCTCATATTATTTTCTAAATATTTTGGTTACTCATCAGGAATTTATTTTAGATAGTCCTCTAAAATCCAGTACTCAATTTAGCAAATATTTGCTGAATGTCTACTGTATGCAAGTCATCGGGGAGGATGCAAAAATAATGGAGACTGGACTCAAGGGGCTCTCTCTCTTTCCTAGAGATTGCTGGTAGATATATAAGTCTAAGAGAAGGCTAAAAGTAATCCATAAACCACCTCTTATCCCACTTCAGAGAGTGGAGTCAAACCTTGAGGCTAATGTTCAGAAAGACTTTGTTAAAGATGCAGATTATAGAATATTACAACCAGAGGGACCCTAGAAAAGTATCCAATCCTATAATTTTATAGATTTGTAAAAAGGGGCGGGGGAAGTAACGTATTTAATATCACATAGAGAGTTTAAAAACCTGGACAAAAAAGGTAGGTCTTTGGATTCCCACTTTACTTCTTTTCTATGATACCACATTGCCACTCTGAGGTTAAAAGGATTTGAATAGGCAAAGATAGGGAAAAGCACAGAGCATGACAGCAAAGATCAGAGGCTGAAATATGACTCTGATAAGAAGGTATGTTTGGGAAGAAGAGTGTTTAATTTATCTGAAGAGAAGAGTTTGATGGGAAGAAACACGACTGAAAACAGAGAGGGATTAGACAATGGAATCAAATGACAATCTAAGACGTTTTCACTAGATAATTTAATGGACACAAGTCGCAGAATTTACTTACAAAATCTAAAAATTCCTTCAACGTTAGTACTATGATATGCTACTGAAGGCCTTAGAGGTCTATAATGAAACAATAGAAAACTCCTCTGATATGAAAAAGGCCAGCTAGATGTAGCAAATTATACTGAATACAATCTCCCTTGGTCAATTCTTCCTTCCCCAAAATGGCAGGTGGCAGGACAGGGGTCAAAGAAGGCAGGACACTGTGATCTGCTGATGATAGGACTGATAGATAAAAGTTTGTGCTACCCCATGCCTTCTGCCTGTCCTTCCCGAGAATCTTGAGCTTGCAGGCTTTATCCACCTGACTCCCCAGCCAGCCACAGACAGGCTTGATGCTCTCACCAGATGCTGGGATCCAGGCAGGTATCAAAGAAGCTGCAGCTGCTCTTCCCTCCACCCTAGCCATCCCATTGCCTGGCCCTTTGCTCTAGTATTTCGTTCCCTTCTTTGGGACTGGAAACTGATGAGTGGTATAGCATATTAGATTTCACACCAGTGTTTGTATAGCACTTTAGAATAATTTCAAAACACTTTGACAGGTGCTTTTTCATTCATCACAAAGCAGAAGCAAATGTCTGTTCCACCTCATCTCTCACTCTGCACAGCTCTCCTCAATACTCCAGGGCTTGGAATATAGTCCCTGTCTCTCTGGTTATCGGTTAGGCTCTAATTTGAAACTTTTAGCCTGAAAGACCCTCCTGAAACCCTGACTCTATTACCTGCTCAATCGTAAGTACTACCTTTGCCAAAAAACACTCACTATACTTTACCCACCAAACCACTAGGTAAACAATACCATCTGAGATATTTCAAAACTGCTTAGACACCATACCTTTTAAAAGGGGTCTTCCTTTTAAAAGACTGCTCATCAGAAAAATTATCACTCAGGCCCCAGCTCTGCATTATCTTCGTCTATTGTCTTTACCATGCTGGTCTGCTGTGGCTGGGATGCCAGCAGTCTCTGCATCTAAAGCCATTCAGATGACGGAGGAAGCTCTGAAAAGGACACACTGAGTGCACCAGGGTTTAACTTATAAAAGGTTTATTAAGCACTCTGGGCTATATAAGACTTAAAAGTTCACAGAATCATTGTTTTTCAAAGTGAGATGAGAATTTGATCCTGGGTTTCAATATTAAGGGTTAAATATTAACTATTAACTAATCTTCATCCTCTCACTCTGGCATATAGACTCATCAAAAAAAATGATTTTTCAGTAAAGAAAAGAAGGTCAGACTTTTCAGATAGTGGGGATAAAAGACCATGAGGAGTTTATTGTTCTACTTTCAACTCTTGTTTAGAAAAAAAAAATGAAACACGAGAATAATAAAGTACTTCTTAAACTACACAGTGATACACAGATTTTATTTTTAGCTGGCAGAACTGAGTACTGTGTGAAGCACTTTCTATGCATTATCTCATGTCATCTTTTCACTAGCCCACTCTTTTTATTCTAAGGTTAGACATCAGGAAACTGAGCCTTAGTAAGATAAGCAATTTGCTCCAAATCTCGCAGTCATATGTGAAAGAGTTGCTGTTGAACCTCTAGTCGGCTAACTTCAAATGTGTGCACTCAAACAGCAAACCACTCAATAAGCCTACTTAAAAACACTTTAAAAATGTTTAAAGGGCTACATATTTAAAGAACATATATTGTTTTTATAAGTAGAAAAAAGAAGAAAAAAATAGAGACCAAACTTCTTCTGAAACTTGTTACTCTTAATTTAAGACCAATTTAAAAAACCAAAAATGGTATTCACTGTAGGTCTGATAATTCAATTCACAAAAGTTATTAGAGTTATCTAACTATAAATATCCATCTGTTCTTTCCACAAACAGATATTGAATATCTAATATGTAGCAGGTACCACGCTAGGAAATGAACAAGAGAAACACTCTCTTAGGACTAGGGAGGTAGACAGAGGCTGGATCCTGCAGGACTGTACACCATACTGAATACTCGGACTACACCTCAGAGCAATAAAGAACCAATTAAAGCAAAAAAGAGAGACTCAATCAGATTTTAGTTTTATAAGTATCAACCTGGAGGCAGAGTGGAGAATAGATCAGAGTGCGTGGAAGGTGGGGGTGGAGATTTGGTAGGAAGCTCTTGCTGTAATTCAGGTGATAGATGATGATGGCCAGGATTTGGATGACAGTCAGGCACCAAAAGAGTAGGTACTTAAGAAGAAGAACAGACAGGACTCAGTGAGGGATTGAATGGGTGATGATTTAAGCCTCGAGATAATTCTGAAATTTAGAAAGTTAGCAGACTCTCATCCCTTAATTAAATCAATCATTTAATTGGGGGAGAAGAATCCCTTCTAAACACTAATTACAACAAGAAGAAACTTATTGCTTTTTTTTTTTTTTTTTGAGTTGGAGTCTCACTTTGTTGCCCAGACTGGAGTGCAGTGGCTGCTCCCAGCCACCGCAGCCTCAACCTGCTGGGCTCCGGTGATCCTTCTGCCTCAGTCTTCCAAGTAGCTGGAACTACAGGCGTGCGCTACCACGCCCAGCTAATTTTTTTGATTTATTGTAGTATGAGGTCTCGCCAAGTTGGCCAGGCGGGTCTTGAACCCATGGGCTCAGGCAATTCACTCACCTTAGCCTCCCAAAGTGTGGGATTACAGGTTGAGCCACTGAGTCTGGCCACTTATTACTTATAAACCGTTACTATCATTTATTCATTAGCATCTAGGTTTCAGTCATAACTCACCTGGTTGCCAACCAATAATAAGTGTTCTCCAAGGAGAAAGTCTTTGAGCATATCTTCCATCACTATCATATGCTAGAAAAAAAAAAGAACTAGAGATTAATTGTTTCAGACAGTTAAGGTGAAATAAGAAAGTTAACTATAAAGATATTTTCATATATTTGTAAGTATACAATGTATGATGATAAAAAATAATCAGATGATTTGATTTTTTAAAAAAACACAAGATTAATGCTGTGGTTAGAAGTAAGTTGTATAACCTATTGGGTCACTGATACTGAAACCTGAAGAAAAAAATGACACACTAGAGAAATAGTCCATCTGAGTAAGATGAAGCAACTGACCAATATTTGAAAGTTTTTATAATTCAAATAAAATATTTTAATCTATTAAACTATGTAAAGTTGACTTAAAATTTAATATAATATTTAAATTGACCCTTGCTAATATAAATATGCAAAGGCTTCCTAAAATAATTGAAGATTTCCATGGAACATTTTATACTGACTTGTTCTTTTTTTTTCTTTTTTTTCTTGGAGTTGGAGTCTCACTTTGTCGCCCAAGCTAGAGTTTAGTGGCATGCTCACAGCCACTGCAGCCTCGACCTGCTGGGCTTAGGTGATCCTTCTGCCTCAGCCTTTCAAGTAGCTGGAACCACAGGCATATGTCACTACGCCTGGATAATTTTTTGATTTATTGTAGAGATGAGGTCTTGCTAAGTTGCCCAGGCTGGTCTTGAACCCATGGGCTCAGGCAATCCACTCACCTCAGCCTACCAAAGGCGCAGGATTACAGGCTGAGCCACCAAGCCCGGCCTGACTTGTTCTTAACCATTACCTTCAAACCTATGATTAGCTTGGGAATTAAAAATATTTACTTTCCACACTTTTTTGTTAGAATTATTACACAATATAATAAAAGAAGATTAAAGTTGTTCATAAGAGTAACAGAGGAGATTTACACTATTCTTTTGTATCTTGGAAAAGTAAGACACCTATAAGTAGGTGTCACAAGGGAATACTGGGGGCTGAGGGAAGACATATATTCTAGCACAATTAATATTCCTATTACTTTATCTTGATTTTCCATATCAAATCAATAACAACCTCATAAGTACTAAAGTTATTGACGTTCTTGTTTGTAAAAAAAAAAAAAAAAAGCAAATTAATCTTTTGCATCTAATACATGCTGTAGATATTTTTCTAGCATGTGACTTTATATTTTAGCTTATAGTGGGTTATTTTTGAAATCCAGAAGTTTTTCTATTTACTTGTCAAATTTAATAATATTTTCTTTCAGAATTTCTCACTTAGAAAGAAAAACTGAGAAATTTTTTCCCTCCTTCAGGAACAAATCAGTATTCCCTGATATTTATCTTGGTAGTTTTTATTTTTTTCTAATGCTTTCAGATAAACCTGGAGCTATAGCTTTAACAAGACTTGAGGTAAGGTGAGCATATTCATTTATTATCCATTATGGAACACTTTTAATAATAAAAGAGACACTGTTAATAACTATGAAAGAAAGAAAAAAATGAACAAGTGTAAACAGACACTATCTTAAGCAAACCAAGATGCATGACTACCTTATAAAAGGAAATCCTAGAACATTAATTTTAGACGGGTTCTTGTGGAAAATATGGTCTGGAGAACACTTCCTTTTCACAAAGATGAAAATTCAGTGCCGATTTCCAGACAACACTAAGTTCTTCCAATAACAAACACGCTAAACTGCATGAGGAATTTATGGAAAAGTTGGAATGAGCACCTGAATAGCTAGGTTTAAGAAAAAAAGGCAATATAAATACTGAAAAAGATATAAACTATTTTCATATTCTTATCTTCTTTACAATTCTCATGCCCTCCTACTGCATGGCCTCATTATATCTAACTAGATTATTCAAATCAACAAACATTAGCTAAGGCAAACATCACTGCCAACACAATTCTCCTCAGCCTATCTACTTAGCGCCGCAGACAGTTTCTTAAGATCCTCCTCGCCCAACTGTTTCTCCTTACCAGTTTCTTGCCATCATTTTCTAGGCTAGACCTTCTTGCAGCAATTCCTTAAATATTGATTTCCCCCACAGTTTTCTCATTTGTTCTCTTTCTACCTTTTAATCTGCTTCCCTTTGTTGTCACAGTATGGGGTAGGTTGTGCCCCTACTTGTATCCAGGCACTTGCCTGAGGTGCAAGGGAGAGCTGCGTGCAGAGTTGGGTATCTACATGTCAGCATTCAAAGAGCTGCCTCTGACTCTGCTCTCCTTAAACTCATCTGTCTCATGGCTTCAATCTCCAACTCTTCACTGAGCTTCAACAGCAAAACTTTCTTCCTCAACTTTGGCCTTGTATTTCTAAGTGATGATTGAACCATTATATTTCTCAGTCTCCTAAACTCAACACATCTGAAACTTAGCTTGTGGCTTTCTCCTTAACTTCATCCTTTATCCTGTATCTCTTTTTCTAATTAATAGCATCATCCTCTACCACTTGATCAGCACCCTGCCCATCTTACTCTTCTCTTACCAAGATCCAGCTAAACATCAAGTCAGAGCCACCAAAAAGTCAACTGCATCTAACCTAAGTCAATTGCATCTATCCCTCCTTTTCTATCCCCACAGCTTTGATTCAGATTTTTATTCTCTATGGCCTAAATTTCTACCAGCCAATTTAACTTCTGTAACTTCAGTCTCTTCCTGAGCCAAGTGTTTTTAAAGGACTGACATAGTCACTTTGTTCAAAAGCTTGTCACTTCATTTTTCAAAATTTCTTAAATGACTCCCAATACTTCAGGAACAAAGGTCACTCCTCGGATTCTTGATCTAGTCTCAGCCTCGTCTCCTATCACTTCTCCTACACTATGTTCCGGTCATGGGTACCATTAAGAATAATGTTTCGCTTATTCTGTTTACTTTTCTACCAGACTATGTGCTCCCTGAGAAAGAATCTCTGTATTTCATCTAACACAAAGTTCCCCTGACTCTATCTCCTAAATAGCCCTACAATGTGTCCTCTCCACTCTGTCCCCACGGTCACCTCCTTAATTCAGATCCTTCAAAATTTCACCTGAACTATTGCAATAATCACATAACTAGTTTATCTTTGCCTTGGTTCTACCTTCTAGAAAATATTAAAGAATAAAAGCAGGCTGGGCACGGTGGCTCAAGCCTGTAATCCCAGCACTTTGGGAGGCCAACGTGAGGGAATTGCCTGAGCCCACAGGTTCGAGAACAGCCTGGGCAACTTGGCAAGAACTCATCTTTACAATAAATCAAAAAATTAGCTGGGTGTGGTAGCGCACACCTGGAGTTTTGGCTACTTGGAAGGCTGAGGTGGAAGGATTGCCTGAGCCCAGCACATCAATGCTGGGGTGGCTGTGAGCATGCCACTGCATTCCAGCCTGGGCAATGGAGTGAGACTTCAACTCAAAAAACAAGAAAAAGTTATTTTTTAACTAGAATACTATCAAAAAGTTTACTTAGAAATAAACTTAACAACACATGTATAAGACATACAATAAAACTATAAAACACAGGTGAAAGAAATTGAAGACCTAAATGCATGGAAAGACACCCCATGTTCTTAGAATCAAAGACATAATACTGTATTTTTAAATTGAGAATACTTTCAAATTGATCTGCAGAGTCAATAAAATCCCTATCATAATCCCAGATGGCTTCTCTGTAGGAATAGAAAAGCCAATCCTAAACTTCAAATGAAAATAAAAGGAACTCTGAATGACCAAAGCAATCTTGGGAAAAAAAAAAAGTAGGAGGGTTCATACTTCCTAGTTTCAAAACTTAACCCCCAGCTACAGTAATCTTGATTACAGTATGGTACTGGCATAGGTGTACTATAATTTTTTAAAAATTTTTTTGTGATATTTGACTTAAAAAACCTTTCTGGCCATGGAAAAACTGTCCCTCCAGTTTTAAAGAAAACAATTATTATTTTTTAATTTTTTTTAATTTTAAAGTTGTGGGGTACAATTCAGGGCTAGGTATACAAATGTTCATTAGGCAGGTACCCTTGTTGATGAAGTATGCCCCCCCCCACAGAGTCCCACTACAGTCAATTCCACTCACACTCCCACAGTCTCCCACTACCACCAATCTTCTTCTTATAGTATTATGATAATTGTTCAAGGTCTACTTATGAGTGAGAAAATGTGATACTCAGTTCTTTGTTTCTGTGATACATCACTCAGTATTATAAGCTCTAAGCCCATATAGGCTGCTGTGAAGTTCATGATTTTGTCCTTTAAGGCTGTGTAATAGTCCATCATGTAATACGTACTACATTTTTTTAAAGATAATAATTCTTAAAGATAACAAAGAGGAGCTTGTCTTTGATATGCAAACTATTCAATCTAGAGCCATATCTCCTCTATCTGGTCCCTATACCCCAGGAGGTAATACTCCTCTGCATAATCATCTCCTGTCAAATGGTAGGCATCTAGAGATCAAACCGACAGCCCAAAGCCTGCAAAAATTATTCACACTAACCAATTCAAAACAGTTTGCTGTGCCCTACCCTGAAGAAACCTCAAGCGAGGCAGTAGCCTAATCCTTCACCTTCCTCCTGATTTGGGGAAGCCCAATGGCCCTGAGCAGCATGGCATACCTCTCTTGTCTCTAGGGCTTGTTGACAAACTGTTTTTTTCCCTAAACTTCTCCAGTGTCTTCAATTGTGGTTGCACCTGAATGACTATCTCATAAAAGAATACAAAATAATAAGGACAGACATACAGATCACTGGAACATACTCGAGAGTTCAGAGGTGAAACCTCACATTTATGATTATTTTTTAGAAGGCTGCCAAGACCATTCAACAAGAAAAGAACAGTCTCTTCCACAAATGGTGCTGGAAAGCTGAACAGTCACACACAAAAGAATGAAAATGAACTTGGCCTGGCATGGTGGCTCAAGCCTGTACTCCCAGCACTTTGGGAGGCTGAGGCAAGAGGATTGCCTGAACCTGTGGGTTCAAGGCCAGCTTGGGCAACATGGTGAGACCTCGTCTCTACAATAAATAAAAAAATTAGCCAAGCATGGTAGCACATGCCTACAGTTCCGGCCACTGGGAAGGCTGAGGTGGAAGGATGGCCTGAACCCAGCAGGTTGACGCTGGGATCACTGTGAGTGTGTCCCTACACTCCAGCCTAGTGATGGAGTAAGACTTTAACTCAAAATAAATAAATAAATAAAAAGAATAAAAGCAAGGTTAGTAAAAGTACAAAATGCTTAAAATCTTCCAATAGCTTTCTCCTCATTCTTCTGAATAGAATCCAAATTCTTTAATTTGCAAGGCCCCAAATTCTGACACTTTCCTAATTCACCAGTCTTATCTCTTAATACTCTTTCATTTGCAACCTCAGCTCTGTGCCAGTGACAGTTATATGTAGCATTCTAAATGAACTACTCCCTCTTATAAGCAAGTCTCGTCAAATGCTAGTCTCTGCCTGAGAGACTTCCTCAACCTGGCCTGGTTGACCAATTTTCTATGATAATTCCAATTTAGGCGCATCTCCCCAGCAAGGCTACCATAGTAACCTGTGCATACTTCCATCACACTGTGTAGTAACCATGTGTACTTACTTGTAGATTATGAGCAGCTTGAGTCCTAGAGCTGCATATGCTTGTGTGAGTATTTTAATCTCTGTATCCTGATATGTTAGGACAAAGCCTGACACATGGTAGTTGTTTTTTATTTCCCCCGGATCTAAAGCTCCTTCTTAGGCTTATTAAGAGAGTATTAATCTCTCTTTCCTTTAACTTCTCTCCCTTAGTGCTGCAAATGTCATATTCCTTAACAAAAGATTTAATGAAATTAAATGAAAAGATTAATTAAATGAAAAGATTAATTAAATGAAAAGATTTATCATGAACATTCAAAATCTTACTCATTCTTTCACTAATCCACCCAACACATATTTACCCAGCAGTTACTATGTGCCAGACACTTTACTATTTGCTGGAGATACAAACTAAAGAAAACACAGGGTCTTGCCATAGTAATGTGGAAAAGCACATTTAAAAAATCAATTTCAACACACTGTGGTAGGGGTCAACAGGGCATAGAACATCAAGACGCACCTAAATCTGCAAGGGGCACTGACGACTACTGCTTCAAAGGTAAAGTGCAGCATGAAAGGAAACAGTAATATACACAATGGAAGTAAATTTAATCAAGCCCTGTCCCTAGTACAGCTAGAACATTTTCATTAATGGTTAATTCATAATGCTTTATGAAGAAAAGGTACATTTGGAGACAGCTTATGAAAAGTCCCTCAGGGCCACTGTGTAAAGTTCACAGCAGCCCTGCGTCCTCAATGTCCATGTCACAAACACCATGGCAACAGACTCTGTGTTCAAGGGCACAGTGTCTTTGTTACATTCTTATTCCTACATTCTTAAAACCTGTGAAGTCTTTTCAATCTTTCCTACCATGGAGTTTTTCAAATTGTCACTTATATCAGTTTTCTGATTTTTTTTTCTTTGTTCTTTTACACTATTATAATAAAGTCTGAAGCCACCAGTGCAGAAGTAGTATTTTTTTCATAATAATGTTTTTTACTTTATATGATAGGCAAGTTGTTTTCCACATTTGTGACTTATAGATAACTTAATTTTCTGATCACTTGTACAAGAGCATTAATGCTTCGGAAGAAAAGTAAAACATTAGTTAATCGGTTATAGAATGAATAAAAATCAAATCAGAGTTATACTTTTTTTCTATGCCATAGATAATAATTACAGCTCTGACAGATTTCTAAATTTTTAACCAGTATTTTTGATAAATAAGAATCAGATACCTATATATTAATATAACTTAAAGATAAAAGCTACGATACTCATTGAACAACAAACAGAACTAAGGAAATGGCAGATTAAAAAAGAGATTTTACTTTAATTTTGCTAACTCCTTAATATAGTAAAAACTACGAAGGACAAATTCTTCTAACATAACTTGTAAATGTAACAACACTTACCATGTAGATTAGTGACTAAGCATCATAGAAAAATTGAAGTATGTTTTTTACATTATTAATTGAAAACAAAACACAAGTTATTTATCCTCTATTTTGCTTATAATAATGCATTCATTTTATTTACCTTAAGTACAGTCACATAATATGTGTGCATGTGTGTATATAAAATATATTACCCTCATCATAGTAACTCTAATTTTCAAGTATCTTTAGAAATGATTTTAAGTTTTACAGTGTCTTAATAGGAGATATTCAACACTTCATTTTGAATCATCTAAATTAAACATAGGAAATTACAAAAAATAATCACACATTAATTTCACTTGAATTGGAGTTTACCACCATGATGTAAGTGATTTATCCAAGAACACAATGCTCTTACCTGAATATTGTCGTAGAACAGAACATCAGGCACTTTCATTTTCTCATGGGCATTATAGATCGGTGCACTAACAGCACCAATCCTCAGAGATCCAGATGCTACTTCACCTAAACATTTCACACAGAACAAAGAATTATTCTTAGCACTGTCCTCAGAGAAGCCAAGCCACCCAACATAGAATGCAAATAGCTTCTGTAATACCTGTAGGCTCCTCAAAAAATCTTAATGTGACATCTAAAGAAATAAGCTTGAGAACACCATACAACACCATAGCTTTAGCTACAGTTTAAAATGCTTCTTAATGTAATAAACTGTATTTAAAACAATGTATGTCACAAACAACATATAGAGAAAATTGAAAGAAAGGAAAAATACAACATAGTCAAGCCACCTTCATCAACTTGTTTGTCGTACTCACTAGACTATAACACCTATGTAAGCCAAATATACATTCAAAAGCTCTGAAATACCTTGAATATAATTTTTTAGGATTCACCCATTGAAAAATCCTACAGGAGAATACTCTAGATGAACCAGCCTATCCCAAAACTCTTAAAATTAGTATTTTTAAGGGTGATCCAGATCTATATTTTCAAATAAGCACTCAGGTGATTTTGATACTCAGAATAGATTGAGAAACTCTGCCCTACACAATTATTTTATAGTAATTTTTATTGTACAGTTCTCTATTTGCTTTAAATGGGTTGGACTTGAATAGATTATGTGTTCCTTGAAGCCAGAAAACTAAGTAATAAATTTCTTTAAGTCAGAGAACATATCTCAAGTGCATTCCCTACAGTCCCCAGATACACATGTTCAGTCTTTTGACTCCAAGTTATATTCTATCCTGTGGAAATACCCTAGCAAGCATATACACAATACCTTAAATAATTCACTCATCTTTCTCTTTTCCTATTTCAAATAAGAAAATTACAGTTTGTTTCTCTACCAGAATACTATTTTTGTGATAAAGCATTTTGAAAGACAAGTCGGGGGTGGTGTGTGTGTGGGGGGCAACATTTGCTTCTATGGAGTTGTGCGAAAAATTTTGAGGGGAAACTAATTAAACTGTCACTCTGTTTAATTACTGCTGAGGGCTACACATTTGACAAAGCACAGTAGATCTTAACAGTTACCTCTCCCTTCAATAGACCCTTGCCATTTTCCTTTTACTCACATGTTTTATAGAAAAGGAAACCCATGAGCTGTCGCACAGTTTACTATTTATTTACTACCATTAGGCCTCTAAAGTAGACCCAATATAAACCTGTAAAGGGAAAGAGCAGAGATGTGGCAGTGAATTTACTGTATACTTGAATGTTGCAATGACACACATAACTTCAGGTTCAAACAGCATCCGATGGTATCTAATGTTGAGCTTATGGAACGTTCAGTAGATTTTAGGCTTTAGGACAATTTAATTTACTTAGCCAATGTTTATTGTTGAAATTTGAAGCCAATGTTTATTGTTGGAAAAAAAGGCATATACTCAGAGAATGGCGATGCTATTAATAGTAATTCTCTGAGAGAAAGCTAGCTAACTATCTTCTAAGAAACTCACAGAATGACTTTATTTTGGTAAATTTGTTAAGGTCCTCAGCCTGGTAGGCTCTAAACTGGATTTTGTCATCAAAATTGAGGGTAAATCTACCTTTCAGGAGAACATTAAAGACACATATTCTAGTGTCTCTCTCTCTCTCTCTATATATATATACAGATGAAATCATAATTGCAAAATATTATTACATCACAATGAAATTGTCATATAGACTATGATATACTGGTTGCCATAATCAGCATATTATTTGGAGGGAGACCTGCGTGGTAAATCAAATCTTCATCAGAGGGTTGTTTTGTGAGCATGGACTCTGAACAAGTAGAGTGAATTAAATGGGTTCTTCACAAGAGAGATGGCCTTAAAGATTAATGGAACCAGACAAGTTAAAAAGATCTCTTCACTTAGGTTATCCCCTACATGAGGCCTAGATAGGCACTGATAACACTGGCCTATAACCAAGATCAAACAATCTATAGTCTAAATTACATCGTCTTTCTTTGGACATGTTAATAGACTCAAGCAAATAACATTTTAAGACTACAATTCCTAGAGTTATTCTGTCTCTTTGAGTTGGCTCTGTGTTTCTGTCTTCACATCCATGAGTAAGACAAATTTATAATTTGACTCTAAAAAAGTCGTCTTATTCCTCAATACCAAATTCTAGTCTCAGTGCTGCTCCAGTGACTAAAAACATCCACTACAAAGACAGCTACAACAGTTCCTTGGAAAGTGTTCACACATTGGCTGTTTTGATAAAACAAGTAATTACATTTTAAAAACTTGAAAATTTTTATTGTTCTCTAATTGAAGAATAGGACATTTTTATAGAAAGAGCTAAATCTCACCAAGACTCAAAATTATACTTGTGGCTATCCAGAAAAAAATACCACACAAGACAATAACAGGTAGAAACAGGAGTAAGAAAGCATGCAATGGTATTGATTGTTACTTTAGTAATCAACCTCAAAATTTCCCAAACAAATCTCATACAATATTGGTGGCTCTCAAAACGAAAATGTTATGCAAAGAAAACAGAATCCTAGATTAATTGGCAAAATACATTTGGAAGAAAATACATTTGTCAAAATTAGACAAGTTGATTTATAGCAGGAATTCTCAGTGCCTTTAATATGTTAGTATCAGCTGGGCTCGGTGGCTCAGCCTGTAATCTCAGTGCTGTGGGAGGCTGAGGTGAGTGAATTGCCTGAGCCCGCGGGTTGGAGACCCACCTGGGCAACTTGGCGAGACCTCATCTCTATAATAAATCAAAAAAATTAGCTGGAGGTGGTAGCGCTCGCCTGTAGTTCTAGCTACTTGGAAGGCTGAGACAAAAGAATCGCTGGAGCCCAGCACTACACTCCAGTCTGGGTGACAGAGTGAGACTCCAACTCAAAAAAAAAAGGTATGTTAATATCAGTTGTAACTCTTAAGGCTGGGGGAGTTATACTAGTAAATACTGAAATAAAACAAATATTCTAATACTTAACTTTTAATTGGTTTTCAAACTTTAAAAACAGATTAATTTCTTCAGTCTAATATGTAAAATAAAAATGCATTGACAACAAAAATATTTTTATTGAAATTAAAATAATAAATAGCATCAAGTGTTTGATAATTATTATTTCACTCAAAAAAAAAAAAAAAGCAAACCAAATACTTACATTTATAATCCTTTAGTTCTGGTTCCAGATCATCATCACTACCTATTTCTATTGTAGCATCCACTAGATTTTTTTCTAATGCTGACCTGGCAAGGCTTGGTAAAAACCTTGGTGGGAGAAGGGAGAATGGAATGACAAAGTTAAAGCTTTCTGTGATCCTTAAATATCTTCCCTTTCTCTCTCTCTCTCTCTCTCTCTCTCTCTTTCTCTCTCTCTCTCTCTCTCTCACACACACACACACACACCTATATTAATAATAACCTTTAAGGAAGATCAGTCCAAATCTGTGAAATCTAAATCATATAAAATTTCAAAATAAATATAAACGTCAAGTATGTGTGAATTATATGTTTCTGAAATCTTTTTAAACAAGTAAAACTTATTTGTAATTAAGAGTACTCAATTATGCATAACATTTTGCAGAGCAAGATTGAAAATAATTTGCTTTCTCTCCCCCACCTCCATTTTTTTTTTTTTTTTTAAATAGAGACAGGGTCTCCCTATGTTGCTCAAACTGGTCTTAAACTCATTGGCTCAAGTGATTCTCCCACCTTAGCCTCCCAAGTAGCTGGGATTACAGAGGTGTGCCATCACATCTAGCTAATAATTTGCTTTCTTAAATGAATTGAGTAAATCTTGTTTATTGAGTAACTGGTTTATCAAATTTTCTTAAATAGATAAATAACACACTTGCCTGTTCTAAGTTGGTCATTGCAAATCAGATCAGTGGAGGTAGCTTAATGAGTTTTTGTTTGTTTTACTTTCTAACACAAATTTTTGAATGAATTTAAGATTATCCATCTTGAGATTAGCTAGCCACACGCAGAAGAAAAAAACTGGACCTATCACCATATATTAAAATGAACTCAAAATGGATCAACAACTTAAATATAAGACTTCAAACTATAAGAATCTTAGAAGAAAACTGAGGGAACAACCTCCTGGACATCGGGGTAGGTAATGAATTCATTCATGATCAAGTTCTCAAAAGAAAGTGCAAAAAATGCTAGGATTGACAGGTGGGACCTTATTAACTGAAAAGTTTGTGCATAGCAAAAGAGTAAAGAGACAACCCATGGAATGGGAAAAAACATATGCAAGCTGTGCGTCTGACAAGGGCTTAACACCAGAATCTATAGGAAACTCAAATAAATTGAAATGAAAAACAAACAAACAACCCCATTAAAAAGTGGGCAAAGGACATGAACAGACACTTCTCAAAGGGAGACATAAAAGCAGCCAACAAAAACATGAAAAAATATTCAGTTACACTATTATCAGAGAAATGCAAATCAGAACTACAATGAGATATAACCTAACACCAGTAAGGATTGCTATCATTAAAAAGTCAAAACAAACAAAACCAAGTGCTGGTGTTGGTGTGGCTGCAGAGAAAAGGGAACACTTTTACACCATTGGTGGGAATGTAAGCTAGTTCAACCTTTGTGGAAAGCAGTGTGACGATCTCTCAAAAAAACTAAAAACTGAGCTTCCATACAATCCAGCAATCCCTCTTCTGAGAATATTCCCAGAGGAACATAAGTCACTTGACCAAAAAGACACCTGCACATGCATGTATATTGCAGCACTATTCACAAGAGCAAAAACATGAAACCAGCCCAGATGCTCACTGAAAGTGAACTGGATAAATAAAATGTGGTACATATACATGATGAAATACTATGCAGCCATAAAAAAACAAAATCGTGGCCTTTGCAGCAACTTGGGGACCATCATACTAAGTGAACTATCACAGAAACAAAGAACTGAATACCACATTTTCTCAGTGATAAGCAGGCCTGGATTACTGGTAACATGAACACAAGGGTGGGATTGGCAGGCACTGGACACTGCTAGGGGAGGAAGTTGGGGAGGGGGAAAGGAGGGATGTAGCAGCCTGCTAGGTACCTAGTGCACTATCAGGGAAAGAAAGGGCCAGCTAGAAGTCCAACTTCACCTGCACGTAACTTACTTATATAGTGAATTCTCCCCTGTACCCCACAACTCTAAAATAAAACTAAATAAAATAAAGTAAAATAAGATAAAGATTATCCATCTTGGTTCTTCTCTCCATTAAAAAGTATATTTATCTATTCTATATGCATGCTTAAAACAACAATCTGGAGAGAGAGAGGTATTCTTCCAGCAAACAGACTATGAGCCCCATGCCCATAAAACAGTTTCCCACCCGCACAAATAAAGTTATATTTAGAAATGATTTCTAATCCATGGTTGCCTGTACTATTCAACTATACACTATGTGATACAATGTTTCAAATAAACTTACTAAGGACATACCACTTACAACTTAGGTTTTCCACAGCTCTAAATATTTGGTAGTGGTCCCCACAGCCTAGAGTAGCGGTCCTTAACCTTCTAACCATGGACCAGTATCAGTCCATGGCCTGTCAGCACATTTGCAACTGGCAAATTTTTCGCTTTCCTAACACCGAGAGTGGGTGATAATAAAATAAAACTCTATTATCACCTTTCTCACAATACAGCTGAAAGCTGCAGACATATCCAGTATTTGCCTCAGACACCGTTCTGATTAGCATCCCATACTTTGTATTTTTATTCAATTATAAATATGAAAAGACAGTCTTCCACAATGAAGTATAATGGATTCATCCAAGGAAAGTTCTTGTTCAGGTTTGTACACAGTGTTGAACTTATTGAAAACATAATTTACTATAGGTTCAATTTTACATAATCTGCTTGGATTTGACTGCATGTCTGCATTATTGGAAAAATGCAAAACCCACAACATTTGTAGGAATCTATTTAATGTTATTATTTTTGAAAAAAAGCTCTTCACAATTGATCAATAATCATGTAATGTGGTTTTCTTCACTTGCCCCATCAAAATATTTAATGTTAGAAATTTTTTCATCTTGGACACTGAAGTTTTGCTCCACTTTAAAAAAAAATCTCTTTGGACATTTATATCTGTGGTGCATCTGATCATAATAGCTGTTAGTTTCAGTTGTGATCATTTTTATGACGTATAAATAGTCCAACAACTTCATTTATACTCTGAGGATCATTTGGAAATACCCTGACACCTAATTACCAACAAACCTTCTAAGTTTCTTTTCAGATCATATTTTGTCCACTCAATGTCTGATTTATCCTCACCAGAACTAGATTCAGTATCATAGATTATCTGCGTTACATTTCATTGTTTACTTTGCATCATTACATCACTGTCTCACTATCACTAATTAATTCACTGGATTCACCTTCTACCTCAGAAATCTCATCAGCATGAATTTCTTCATTTTTCCTAATTATGGTAAATTATTTTTAATGTTGAATTATGAAAGCCCTGAAATATCAAAATACAAGTATACGACACTAATCACAACACAAAATAATGACCAACTTGCAATTTTTACCAACTATGTAAAAATCGATAACAATATCGTACAGTTGACATCAGACTAGCTTACTCTCTCCTTGCCTGAATATGCATTTTCAAACAAAATCTAATAACACATACATATGACAATGCTGCAGCATTCAGAAACAGAATTTGCAAAGATGTAACTTTAACATCGGTGGCAACCAGGAACAGAATTTTGGAATGACATGAATTCATGTCAGCAGCAACCAGGAATACAATTTGGAATGACATAAATTCACTACAGTGGTCATGAATGAGTTAGGAATGGGGACACACAGCAGAAGGTGAGCAGTGGGTGAGTGAGTAAGGTTTCATTTGTATTTACAGCTCTCCCCATTGCTTGCATTACCGCATGAGCTCTGTCTCCTGTCAGATCAGCATGGGCACCAGGGATCTAGGTTGCATGCTCCTTATGAGAATCTAATGTCTGATAATCGAAAGTTGATCTGAGGCAGTGGTGCTAGTGCTAAGGAGCAGCAACAAATACAGATTAACATTAGCAGTGAGGTTTGACTGCACAGTCCTCCCCTATCCCCGGTCCATGGAAAAATTGTCTTCCACAAAACTGGTCCCTGATGCCAGAAAGGTTGGGGACAGCTGGCCTACAGTATATTTTCTAATAGAGTAGAGGTTGGAGTGAGCAAGGCAGCAAATAGATGAGCATGTAAAGAACTGTCAACGTTTCCTGTCCCTATAATATTCCAGGCCACGTATCTGATAGTATCTCTTACCTACTCCCTCATTTTGGTCCTAGGCTCTGATAGGGGAATTTATAGCTCAAGGCTAGTAGCTCCTCAGCTCAGGTGAAGTCAGACTTAGCTGTTGCTCATCTCTGAACTTTCATCACAGTTCTTATATCACTGACTTGTTCAAAACCATGCCCTGAGCTCATACCTGTAATCCCAGTAGCTTGGGAGGCTGAGGCTGGAAGATTGCTTGAGCAATCAATTGGTTTGAGACCAGCCTGGACAACATAGTGAGACCTCATCTCAAAAAAAAAAAAAAAAAGGGAGAGAGAGAAAGAGAAAAAGACAGAGGAGCTCAGTGGATATTTGGCAGTTTTTCTCTTCAGTTTAGAATATGTAATTCATTAATTTATTTATACTTCTGATTTTAAATCTTAAATTTACAAACAGTATAGGAGTATTTAAGATAACTTATGGTATATCCTACTTATAAATTTAATTTGTTTTAGTTGTGTATTAATTACTCAGGAAGGTTTTGTTTACTAACAGAGACATCTGAAGTACTTAACAGTAAACAGAATATATAAAATTTATTAACACCGTTTCAAACATTTGAAGATATTTTATTTAGCTGGCTGTTTTAAAGGCCCTTAAAAGTGATTGTTAATATCTGCTAGTCTTATAGAGTAAGCTGCATGAACAGAAAAGCCTAAAGAAGGTCTAGATCTTTAAAATAATACTGTTATAGAACTGAGTGTCAGTTTGTGTGTGTGTGTGTGTGTGTTTGAGTTGGAGTTTCACTCTGTCACCCAGACTGGAGTGCAGTGGCACACTCACGGTCACCCCAGTGTCAACTTGCTGGGCTCCGGCAATCCTTCTGCTTCTGCCTTCCTACTAGCCAGAACTACAGACGCGTGCCACCATGCCCAGCAATTTTTTTTTTTTTTAATCATAGAGACAGGTCTCTACGATTAAAATAGAGTTTTATTATGGTCAGTTGATAACTCTGGAAAAA